TCTATACACTGACACAATGATCACTTTCTTTCTTATTTTGATGAATTGTCATAAAGCGTTTATGTAATCATTTTGATCCACATATAATACAATAAATTGACGAAAGAACCATTTTTCAATTGAAAAATAATTCCGTCCCCAAAGGGTTAAGTTAACTGTTGAATTTCATTCGAAATATTTAAATATATATTTAAACAATAATAAATAGTGATTTTTTTTTAAAAATAAACAACAAGACAATTTGATTATTAACAAAAAAAAAGCACTGTTTTTCTTTGTTTCTGTTTGGTTGTATATTGCAATATTAGCAATATCAATCGAAATATGAAGAGAATAAAATAAAATAAAATAAAAGGCAAATGTAACAAGACTGTTTAGTTAACGAGAAAGATATAATAATTAGAGCAAAAAATAAAACAACAAAAATAAACAAATAAACAAATAAGGAAAAAAAATAAAAAGTAAATATATTTGACAAAAAGGCATCATTTATAAATAATAAATTAATTTTTTTTAAAAAACTGATCTATTAGGTAAAAATAATGTTTTAAATGAACGTTTAGTTTGATTATTTATTGATAATGTTTGTGTTGGTGTAAGTGTCGTTCGATTATTGATAAAATTTGTATTTAATGTTAAATTATTATTATTTATTTGTGATTTAAATTGATGATCTATATGAATATCTATATTTAAAAAAAAAACAGGAAAATAATTTTTCTCAAAAAAATATTAATATTATATATAAAAATATATTTAACCTTGATGTGAATCTTGATCAATTGATATTTGTCTATTTATTGATCGATATAATGAATTATCATTAAATTGTTTATTATTATTTGTTTCGATATATTCACTTTTTTTAATTAAAATAAATTTCGAATTAGTTGATGTCCATGAACGTTGAATTTCATAAATATTTTCATCATCAGATATTAAACGACGTTTTATTTCAAATCGATAATTTCTTTCATTTAGATTTATTTCTTCAACAAGACCATAATCATTTGATATAACACCAATCATACGAATTTTTCTCATTAACTAAATTAAATTATTTTTGTTTAAAAAAAAAAAATAAAAAAATCAAAGTTAATTTTATTTAAATAAATTATACTTGTGTAATAACATGACTAGCAGTTGATTTAATTGATGTTCGAAAAGTAGTATGTTTTTGTACAGATGATATATTATATATAGTTACAAGAAATGTTCGATCAATATTTTCATTGTTTTCACTTTTTTTATTATTAAACGGTGAATGTGATAATTGCTGATAAAAACAAAACAAAACAAAAAAACAAGAGAAATAGAAAAACAAAATTTTCTTATTTTTTATTTTATTTGTTACTTACTGGTGTTTGAGCTTTTTTCTTACATAAAATAACTGTTTCTCGTCCAACACGATCAATAACTTCAAGAATTCTTTCATATTTTTCAAGTATTCGTGGTGAAATATGATTATGTTTACATGATGAACTTTTCTTTTTCCATGTTTTTGATGATTCTGTTAATATAATATCATTTATTGTTTCACCAACTTGAAGAAAATCATTTGTTTTAGTAATCTAAAATCAATCATTTTTTAGAGATAAAATAAAATGAGAAAAAATTTATTATATATATATATACAATAAATCATACCATTTCTATTAGTTCTTCAACAGTTGTATATTGTGTTACAGCAAATAGTTGAAATTCTTCATCACGTCCATCTTTACCATAGACTTTAACTTCAAATGTTTTATGTTTAGGTCGAATGGATTCCCGACTTGACTATTTATATAATAGAATATATTTATATATGAAAAAAAACTTTAATAGATAAAAACCTACAGCAACAGTATCAGGTAGATCAGCTGTTCGTCTTAATATTCTATTACGAAATATATGTGGAGTATTTGATGTTGATAAATCTGATTCAGGATTACGAATTAATATTGTTTCACTTATTTTAGAATAAATAAATAATGTTGTTAATTCTAATGGAACATTTGTTTGATCTCTTAAACGAACATGTCGATAACCTGATCGAAGACATTTAACAGGCATTACACGTTGACATATTAAATGATTACTTCCACCATCATATACATTAAAACGTATAAATGATAATTCGATGAAGAAAAGCTAAATATATTTATAGAAAAATAATACATATTTAATCACATTTTCTATTTTATTATTATTCATTGATTATTTAATTATATTTCAACATAACAAACTAATATATATATTAAAACAAACAACTATATTATATTGAGATTATAATATATATTGTATAAAGTAGGAGTTTATTTTAAATAATATTATTTATCAATTATTTTACTAGTAATACGTTTAGCATAGATAAAATGAATAAGCGCTAAGAAAAACAAAAAAGCAACTGTATGAATGTCTTAATTATTTCCGAGATAAAATAATAACAACTGTAAATAGTAATTTAATATGGTTTTATTTTTGTTTGATAGGTATTCTAATAGAAGAGTAATTTAACGATTATTATCTATTTTTTTACGACATTATTAAATAGAATTATTATACTACGTCTATCAAATATAAACTTACAATTATTTATAATCGTAAATTGTATTAAATGCAAGGGGGAAACAGCTGATTAGGGATCCAATAATCACCCTAATCACCCCTAATCACTCCTAATCATCCCTAATCACTCCTAATCACTCCTAATCGTCGCTAATCACTCCTAATCACCCCTAATCATACCTAATCACTTCTAATCACCCCTG